AAAATGGCCGCGCCTGCATGCAATGTGGGAGGCTACAACCTTGCGTAGGAAAACTTCTAGGAATTAATGTTCTGCATACCAAACACGAACTTCAACATCGCCAGATAGTCGAAAGAGTAGTGCATTTCTCTCCTGTACAAGGGCTACCTCCCCTCGCTCGCAGTGCTTCTCAACTGCTTGACCCACGTTTTGGAAAACACAGCCAGCAGAGGCTCCCACAATTGGCCTTCAGAATGCAAAGGGGCCTCCTATTTTGAAGGCAGCATCGCCAACGAAGCTGTCCAGTACCCACAGTTTTCAACTGTCTTTCTGCATGATAGAATTGACACCTTCTGGGAAAAGCTGCCATAGCAAAGCATCATCAGATATCAAGCTGTGTACCAAATTTCCTGAACGAGCCTCTCCAAACTCTCGGCAATAAGTGAAACATTCTCGGCATTGTCCCTGAGCACTGAAATTCCCCTTGGCCATTGTCGACAAGGTCACAACAGCTGCCGAGAATTGTGCCTTAATGCTGTCAACAGCGGTGAAATGGGATCAATCCTGTTGTCTCAAACCTCCATTGGATGCCAATTTTCACCTGTCGTAATCCTGTGCGTAGCACTTGCCCCAGGTGAACCCACCCCCGGGGTCGAAGAACCGGGAAAAGGCAGGCACGCCGGGCAGGGCCGCATCCGCCTGTTCCAGCCTCGCCTCCAGCGGCCGGCCTTCCAGTTCCGGGCTGTCGAAATATTCGAGCGGCAGGCTGGTAGGCTTTTTGGACGGTAGGTGGACATTGGCGGGCGTAACCGTGACGCGAAAATCGTGACCCTTGGAGGGCACCCAGGCGAAGGGGTGGTCCTCGGCGGCCGTGGGCCCCAGGGCCCCGGCGCCGCCCGGTGTGCTCCTTGGAGGGAAGAGACCGTCATCTTGTGGATCGTACCTGGAAGAAGACAGAACAAATGGCCTTTTTACTAAATTACGTAAATTCCTTGGGAACATGTGCAATTCTGATTTGATGGATGCCATTTTGGGTTGAGAATGTAAGGATTCTTTGCAGATAGCGTGTGCCTTGTCTTCGACCAAAAACGAATTATATCTGGGTAATTGTTGGCTGTGCTGTTGCCAAGATAATCCCTGCAATAAGGTCCGTTGCATCATTCGTTCGCACTGTTATTTTGGGCGAATCAGTGAGGCTGTTGTAAGCCTCTAAATTGCCTTCGACAAGACAAAGAGAATTGTTGAGACTGCGGTCACCTTCCCATCTGGGTCACAGATTTTCCAAATTCGGTCAAAGGCCGTACGGATGCGATAAAATACACAAAAGCCAGAACATTTCTCGTGGTTTAAACTGCGGTGTTCGTGAAAGTTTGGGTCTATGTCACTGGGCACACTGACTAATAAGACACCAAGAGTCCAACGAATGACAGCAGCACTGATTGGGTTCAATTTGGCACTGCCTGGCCTATAGTTCAGCCCCTAATGGCCTGTTAAACCACACCCTCTCCAACACAGGCTGATTTGCGTTGTTACCTGTGGTCCGCGAGGGAGGCGGGCGGAGGAGGCTGTGGCGGCGACGGGGACCGCGCCCACTGCGCATGTGGGGTGACCGGAGCCACGGCCTCCTCAGGTTGGTGATGTACAGTGGCCTCCGCTCGACCTGATTCGGGCCGCATAATTTTGGAGTCAAGGTTTTGGTGGCGGGCGCTCAACTTGAATGGCCATCTCTCCTTGAAGGAGGCGAAATCGGCATTTGAACTTGCTGTGCCGCGCGTGGCCCAGCGTGTGGCAGGAACCCCAGGGATTGGCAAGGAAGGAGGCCTACTCCTGTAGGCGCGCAGGGCGCAAAATAGTGATGGTGGATCGCCTAGTTTGCGGGAGGTGCATGGACAGCAACAAAAGTCCTTGCCGTGTCTGTTTTCGTGGGTTGGCTGGGTATTACCGGAAAATCAATGTTAAAGAAAGGAGAGGCATGTGGCCGAATGGGCACCTCCCTCCTGAGCAAACAGAGGGCGACGGTCTGTTCTGTTCCGTGACCGATGATGCAAAGCCTCCAGAGACATGCTGAGCACACGCCGAGCAGCACGCATTGCAGAACGTGGGTTGTCCGCAGGAGAGTGCCGACTTCAGGACGTGTTTGTTCTTCTCCCAACAATGAACCCTCGAGCGGGTTAGGTTGAGCTGGGCTTTGGCAACCCATGTGCAGATTCGACCTGGCCACCACGAAAGCCTTTGCCAGGGCTAAAACCGGCCGTTTCGGTATCAGTGGTCTCAGCAGCTGTCATGCATGGTTTCAACAGTTACATGGTCTCCATTCCAGCTCTGCAACTTTGGCTTGACCTCCGGAACACAAGCCAGCCAAATTACGCAGTGTGATGAATCTGATAACTCATGAAGGACGCACACCTTGATTGGCGTCTGCAAAATGGAAAGCATTCAGCCATTCCCGCACATAAAACAAGACACTACAAAGAAGCTGGGACACCACCAAAAAACAAAGACAAAAACAAATGGGAGGAGGGCAGGGTGGTCGAAATCTGCCATCTTGGCCGCCGGCTCCACCTTACAAGCGCCCACAGTTGCCCCACCTTCACCCTTCAAACGCCTCCCTTCGGCATCCCTCCCTTCGTCCCGGGCACTGGCGGCGGGAGACGGCCCGCCGAACGCCCTCGGAACTCGAATCTGCGCACGCCAGAGTCCCCCGCCGTCATCCCGCCCCAGGCCAAAACTCCACGGGCGAAATTCCTTTGCTGAAAACTGCCCTCAAACGCAATGTTTGCATTGTTTGAGCACTTTGTTTTACTCGGCCTTCGAAAGAAAAAGCCTTGAACCTGCACCTTGCGGGCGGCGACGGCCGTGGGCACTCCCCAGATCCTTTTTCCGTCCCCCATTCATTCATTCCACCAAAACGCGGCGCGCCAACCACTTCCAAAGAGTTCCTTGCAACGAATGCAACGCGCTCTAAGCCCCTTGCGGACTCCCACCTTCACAGGCGCGTCCACCGTCCTCGCCCGAGGCCGCCTGTCGCAAAGGGAGGCGCCGCGGGCGTCAGAGAGTCAACGACTCGCGACGCCACCAGGAGCCCATCGCTCCATTTTGGCCCCACCTCCGAGGGACAGTCATCCCGGCGCTACCACTCCCAAAGGCCCTCCCGGGCCGCCCTCTCCGCCTCTTCCTTTAAGTTTCTCCTTTCAAGTCGTGGTGGAGCGGGCCAGGCGGGGGCCCGTGCGGATTGCCTGAGCCCCTTAGGCCCTGCCTGGCCCCAGGGTCCGGGCTCTGTGGGTCCACTCCGGCCGGCCCGCGGTGCGCGGCCGGACGACCCGCCTGTTAATGGCGACGCAAATCTTCGTCAATTTTGCCAGTGTGCCGTCAATTGCGCTCATCAGAATCTGATGATGCTGTTCTTTCAGTTTCGAATCGTGAATGGCTGTTTCTACCCCCTTGCCTTGTTATGTGAGAGTGAGTGATGATGAACTGTCGGTTGCCAAGGCGGGGAGGCAGCTGCGAGCTTCCGCAAGGAGCGCCGGTGCTTTCGAGCTGTCGGGAAACATTGGGAGGAAGTCTGCAGCGCTCTGCATTTGCCCTTTTCAGTTTATCTTGGATATCAATTGGGCTACTCAGGCAGGCGTTCTTCTACCAAGTGAATAGCCAAGCAACGAATATGAACGCACAGAGGAAGCCGTCGCCCTTTTATGGCCTAGGAACAGCAGGTTCAATAACGTTCTCAAACATGACATCCTGTAATAGAAGCGGATGTACCCTGCATCCCCCAGTCCGTCTTCTCCCAGAATATGCTGCCGGTGATATTACACCAAGAGAAACGTCTTTAAAAGTGGCGAGTTGGAAAATGCAATTTTGACATAGTATTGCAATGAAGAAACTTTGTCACATATTGTGCGTTTTGTCAGGGGGTCGTTCGCAGTCATAAATGTCTGTTGCCGCCTCGTTTGTCGTCCCTTTATTCCATTGAGAGCCTACATTGATGGCATGACGATGGCGTGACCATACATTTGCCGTGTTCCGGTCAACTTGGATGAATGAACCACGTGCACTTATATGACAGCAGACTGCACTTACATGCAATGGATTGCCGACCTGTGGGACCAATTGCGGCTACCGACAGCTGCACATTTTAGTATATTGGGATGTTGTTGCAATGTCCATCTTTTGCCATCGTAAACTGAACCGCCACTCAAGGGTCTGCCCATGATCACCAGGTTGCAGGTGAATGTCTGCTGCTGTTGCTGCTTGAGCTTCCACGGTCTCTGTTCATCTTTGTCACTACACAGGAGCCTCCCCTGTGCTTCCAATTCTCAGCGCGATTTTATCTTCGAACAAAATCCTATGCACATTGACATGGCCTGCAACTCACCGCCAGCACGAGCCGTATCTGTTGATATGTCGTTGATACACCTGAAGCTGAGTGGGGCAATTCCAGTGAAAGGCACTCGCGAACAATCGGACATTACCCACAATTTGGTTCCATATCTAAAGGTGTTAAGTTCCTCGAATCATGTGTTGATAGTGTGACTCTCGTTAAATTGGACCCATCAGTGTAGTGTGTTTTCGACGCCATTGCCACCAGCCTGGGTAGAATCTTGCCCCTCATCGAGGTTCAATCCGATACGAACCGTTTAAACAAGCATCACACAAATTACCAAATCGAACGCATACGATATTCGATAAAACTAATGGACTCCATTATTATAAAATTAATGGTATCAACAAGTTTGAGTCAAGCCGCCGCGTGCTGCTTTGATAGTTAGCCCTCAGAACGAAATGCTAGGCGACGCGGCCATGCCTCCGCAAAGCACGTGCAAAAACAGCAACCTGTGTCAAGCACCAGATGAAATCCGGAAACAAAGCCCACAGAAATACGCCTGCAAACTTGTACAAAACTAATTCGCCACCACGATGCGCCGCTCCAACAGCCCCAAAAGCATGACATGGTGAACACGCCACGCAGACCATCAGGGAAGCAGGTCCAAAAGCGTGACTTGATGCAAGCATCACGCAAGCGATCACAGCTCATTCAAGGCTTGCAGCACGGTCGCGTGAAGGGATGGAGAGGCCGCGATGATGCCCCTGTCCAGGTCAAGCCACCGCCCTTGCGAAAAATCCAAGGGACGCCCGCTGCCATCAGAGATCTGAACCACAGATCAGAGTCAGATATTTGAATCAGTTATGGAATAGCTGGCAACAGTACGTGCCACCAACCATTGCTCTTGACTACTGAGTAGAAGCCATTATCGAAATCAGTTTGTCCATTGCAAGTAGTTGGGCACTGGGACCCAGAGGTGGTTGATCCAGACATCTTGCTTATCTGGGACACGCCTTGCACTGGCCCCTTGAACCGGAGGAAGTTCATCATTTCGTAAACTTCTGTTCGCATAAGAAAAGCGCATTAAACCCACAATTGAATCACATGAATTAAACACTTTACTGTACACATGTACATTAATAACGTCATTATCTAAACTGTGTATTGGCACGGCGATCACTGCCATTGTCGCCGCGGTCCGCCATTCGTCGGTCTGTTGGAGCCACAGTGCCCCCTTGAACTAGACAGGCGCGTGTTGGCAAATTATGTCCTGAGCGGGGTGTTTGGGATGCCAGTTTTCAGAACTGCAGAGATGCTGATGATACGTGTGGTGAATTGCCCGGCGGAAAGAGCTCCACCAATTGCTTCACCTTTGCGCCAGCCTCCTCGACAATGACCGAGCCTGCACAGTGGTCCCAGATCTTTTCTCTGTAGTCAGGTGGTGGGAAGCGCATGAAGAGGGCCGCGTCCCCGCGGCTAAGCGCACCTGCAGCCAGCAATTTGCAATTGCTCTGCTCACTGCTCTACTAACCTGTGACTACTCTACAATTACACTGATTGCTCTGCACTTGTGATTACAGTGGTCACCTGCAATAAGTGCAGCCGAAGCGTTGAAATATTCCACATATTGGCACACAGTCAAGCAACACTTTCGAACAACAAAGGCCAACAAATATTCAACACTTTTGATGCCTTTTGGTTACAGGCTTGACGTTGCAATGCTCATTAAGTGTTTTCGTTGAAAACAGTGAATATGGCCCCTCTTCTCAACAGCAATGGGGTGACGACGTCATAGGACATACGGCGCCCTGGCGTTTGTCATTGAAGAATGGCTCAACGAAATATTACAATCAATCGGCACTCAACAGATGAATTGTGCGGCGAACTAAAATCGATGTACAACGCATGGATACACCAGCTGACTAATTGGCATCATGACTCATCCTGCAACGCAAACAAGTCAGGAAGAGCAGGCTGGGAGCCTGCACAGTCAAATGGCACAAAAGTGGCTTCTGAAAGCGAATTTGGCCCTCACAGAGACGCCCAGAGACCACAGGCAACATAGAAGCTGTCCCAACTCCCAACTCACCGTATTTGACTTGACTATCCATTCGCAACACGGGCCGCACAATGCCCAGTTTCTCAGCCTGCATACGACAGCAAGCAGGAGTCAACCAACGGAACTACTCAACGAAGCTGCCCTGCCTGCGCGACTTTACGCGCTCACAGCACATCCGTTGCCCCAGCGTGCAACTTTGTTGATCGCCTTCTCGACTGCTTCATTGAACGAATCTTTGAAGGCTACGCGAACAACGGCGCCCTCGCTGCACACGCCTGTGCTGGACTCAGGAAAACAAATAGTTACACGACAAGCTGGCGAATTGGAGCCCTGTTGGAGCAACTATGACACACTTAACGTTGTGGCATCTCTTCCCAGCACCTCACTTGAACGAACACCGCATTCGCTGACTCATCGCCTTCACCTTGCCTGATGGTGGGCGGGACAGCGACGCGCCGAACTTTCAAGTATTACACCGATGGGCGACATCGTGATAATATTTCACAATTATTCGAATTATTTCAATTTAGCATTATTGCAAATGTTCAGCTCGTGGTATCGCTCTTGGCCCGTCCAGTGGCAGGATCAGCAGTACTTTCATTGCTTCCTCAAATCGCTTCAGATAATTTCATAATCGTCTATGCGTATTTCACAGCGGCATAGCTGCCAGAACATGGGAGTGCATGTTATGCCCGCCCACCAGGGCATGCTATGGATGCAGTGGATGCAGGCCATTGAGATTGCTCTTGGCTGTACACATCCATGTCATCACCTACAAGATGCAAGGGCACTACTTGACTCGTCGCAGTCAAATTCAAAGGATGACAGCCTACCAGGGCAGCGGTCAATTCGTGATTTGAGTGTCTCTTCTCAAATGACTCCATGTATTGAACGCTGGCAATGCTGTCAACATCTGGGACCCTCAATTCCTGGGGGAATCATTCCATCCCGTCAGAGCTCACAAACACCCAAACTGTGGCGCATGCTGACCTGCACAATACTACACAAATGTCCCGGTGCCGCTCATTAATGATACTTTTATTAATATTATTACAACTATTAATATTACTGGACTGCAAGGTCATGAAGGTCATGAAGGCAATCTCTGGGTTTTGCGTTTTCCAGGTGTAGGTCTCTGGGGCCCTTGCAGGCTCGGATTTCGTTTACATTCACGCTTTTACTTTTACGTTTTTACGAGTGAAAACGTAAATTTGCAAAAGGGCCTATTTTTATGGCTATTTTTACGTTTCTACGGCTCCCTGGGACACCCAGGTTACACGATGAAAGTTGCGTACACTGATCAGTCCTCCGCAATCTCCAGCACCTCCAAGACAGTGTCCACGTCGCCCTTGGCAAGGGCGATAATGGTGCTTAACAAAAACTCGTTTTCTGCCCCTTCCAGGGCGTCTGGCTGCCACTCTCCGGACTCCGTAAGTCTGTAGGTACTGTCCTTATGTACACCTGGCAGTTTTTATGTTGTGTTTACGTATTTTTACGCATTTTTAAGTGTAAAAACGTAAAAACTAATTTTACACGTAAAAACGTAAATACGATCAGTTTTTACAGCGTAAAAGCCCAGCCTGGGCCCTTGTACCGTTCATGACCTTCATATCCTGAAATGTTAGATGCCGGACGAACTCGGACACTGCCGCTTTAAAACTTTTCAGTCGATGATGCAAATAGGCGTGGGTGTGGGGTGGGTGGGGGGAGCGAATGACCCCCACGGGCAATCCATTGCACAACGGACAAAAACGCTTGTGCGAGGGCTGCACCACACCAACACCCGCATCGCAGCGACGCACCATAGCCCTAACCCAACGGAAATCATGCAGAAGTGGAATAGTCAGCGATTTCACAGAATCAGAGCACCACATTTCCAAGACGGCACGGAAATTAGCATACTACCCAGAGATGGCTGTTTGTGTATGGACAGGAACTGCCTTGCATTGGAGAGTTTTCGGCAGCGAGCATGCGGCTCACATGGGATGGCAGCTCCGATCCCCACAGGGGCCCGTCCCTCGCTCCACCGCCTCGAGTTGCAGTAAATAGGCAGCCGATGTCGGCGTCCAGAGTGCGAGATGCAGCACCTGAAAAGCCCACACTGTGCAGGATGAGGGCCATTGATATTTCCTATCACCATGCACGCAATCAGCTGCAAACTCAGTAAATGAACTAAATAAGCAGCTAAACAATTGAACAAGCCAGTACATTCACAAATGAAAACTATGGTGGAGACAGAACGCAACATCGCTGGCCTCTTCCTGCGCTTCTGCGTCCTGGGCAGACTGCATACAGCGGCACTGTTCTCTGCAAAATGTGGAGGCGCTGTATACGCAATCCAAAAGGAGTTCAGCCTCACGCACATTCTCATCTTGCCTGGTTTGCCGTCTTCGTCCGTCACTTTGGTCTGGGGCAGGTTTGGGCATCCAAGGGCGCCAACAGTGACCTGGAAACACAGGCAACGCCCAAATGCATCAGTGTGTCAGGTGCATCCATTGCTGTGAACAAAGGGACGGCCCTTTCGACACTATACACCACCATCATGCTCGCACTGATTGTCTTTGAACGTATTCGCCTGCATCAGCCTGTTCTTTGCTGCGTTTACTTGGAATAAAGGAAGGAATAAACACTCAACAGTCGCCTTCATGTGAAGGCGACTGTTGACTGTTTATTCCTGTGCACAGAGCAATACAGTGTCCTTGGGCCCTGTACGCGATTTCCAGCAGCTGGACGTTCAATTCGCCTGTTCTGTGCCACGTTGGTTCACCATCTCTGCACTCCGCACGTCCAAACGAAGCACCAACCACTGTGTAAGAAAAACGGTGCAAAAAGTAGGGCTACTAAGGTCACGCAATTTGGTCACACAGTTCCTAACGTCATACAACAATAACGGCTTGCAGCACCAGCAAAACGTGACCAGAAACTGTGTGGCAAAAGGCATATTCAAACCAGTGCAAGGGAGTGAGTTTTGATGTGTTGGCCTGTTCATGGGGCTGTGACACCAGGCGATGCCAGTGCCAGTATTTAACGCTCATGGCACTCTTTCAAAACATGGTGTTTCCTAAGCCTATGCAACCAAAGCAGAATCAAGCTTCCGAGCTGCACAATGTGAACAGGCAAATGTCATTCACCTGGCCTTCTTTCAACAATCCCAGGCAAACTGAATATTGCCTCATTGCCACAAAGCCCCTTGTTCCATCAATGGGATCGAGAACCCAGTGGGTGCCACTGCCGCCATCAGACCTCCCCATATCTGCACCCACCCACAAACTCTTGGCAATCAAACAGAAGACAATGCAAGGAAAACAGCTGCACAATTTTACATCCAATGCACAGCTGATATCACAATCGCACCCCAGTCTTGTGAAAGAGCATGCCAGGGCACAAAATAGTATAATCGCTCCCAGTCACTGCAGATGATTCTGGACAGGCCGCTACTGTCCCATTTAGTCCCAGATAGTCCTACCATCCCAGATAAGCCCAAACACAACCTTCAGGTGTCTGAGGGTGGCCACTGGAGGCCTCAGCAGGAGTTCATTACCCTGCGGCAATGTTCTGCAGTGTGCAAAAGTTGCAATGCACTCATCCAAAATGCTGTCACTTGTGGTCCTAAAGCGATGCATATAGCTGCTCAGCTTGCGCCTTTCTGCAACGATTGATGCAATTCGTTCTGGCAGCATTGCTCCTGACCAAATGCATTCCATCAAGAACCAAGCAGCTGGCAGACAAGCAATACACCAGTGCATGCTCAAGCCTCAAGTACTGCTTTCAACTCTGCCAGAACATGATGATCAGGATTCAGCTCAACATATTGGCAACCACTTGCAGATCCAGACATCCCCAGCTGTCACCTGCTCACAGCAAAGGCATTTGTCTTGTCCAAATTTGACAATTGCTGTCAGCAAGGGTTTTGGACAGCAAATCACCTATCAAATCCATGATGTCATCTGATGTGAGCACCGGTGCCCCCGGAGTGTCGATGAGTACCTCGTTCACAAGTTGAGAAATGCGATTTCGCATCGCACCACCCTCCGAGTTCCTGTTGCAAAGCAGAGCGTCAAGAATTGACGAATTGACGAATTGATTGAACACGAGATAACAGTCCACAATTCCACAGCTGCAGGTGGAGAACAGAGGTTGCAAAACTGATCTGGGCAACATGTCCTTGCTGCAGGGACACAAGCGCTTGCCTTGCAGGAATTCTGATTAGATTGTACAGCAAAGAACTTCGCTCAGTGCAGAACAGAGGAAGCAAAGGCTTGCAGAATTTAACACGCCATTTGTTTCAAGTTCCATATTCTTAGTCATGAACCTAGACCTGTGACTAAAAGCAAAGAAGAAACCAAGCAACGGGCAAAGTCAACGCATGTATAATGAGCACAGTTCTCACACAATGCACCACTGGACCTCGGACTTAGACATATGGGGTGCTTTCCCTTTATCTTCTAAACCATCATAGTTCTCCACTCCCATTTTCTACTTTGTCCCTGGTGTTCACCCCTTTCGTCACCAAGCAATGTCCCCTGTTGGGTGCTCCCTACCTCTCTGCACACATCGCTCACAATATGAAATGTTCAATGCTGGAGACACAAGCAAGTCATATTTGTTGCCATTGCCAGGGAGGCCGCACTCCTCCATCTAGAAGGTTCTGCTGGGCCTGGAGTCCGAAAACATCTCAAAATACTTTTGCTTGTCTAGCAAAGCCGTTCTGGAGGTGAAGTCAGATGGAAATCGATTTGAATTCATTGAATTCAAATTGTTCACGGCACTTGTCAGAATAGAGCACAGGATGACAAATTGAGCCACTCACTTCAGACTGGTGGAGTCCTCTTCTGCAACAAGGGACAAAGGACCTTCATGCAAGCCCGCCTTTGACAGCACCCAGGCAACAACAGCCTGTGCACCTGCAATCACAGAACATCTCAATTCCTGGAATCGCAGATAGTATGATGCCAGTGCGCTATCCATTTCCAGCTGCGGCATGCAGCACGACCACTGTTTCCATTGTTTTGTGTTAAGATACATTCAGTCAATCGTCCAAGAGGGAGCAGAATCCCTTGAAATCAAAGGTATAGCAACCCCCAACGGCCACCCCCACCCCCCACCCTTCCACACTGTCTCATGCACTGCCCAGTTCCGCGGGACCCGCATGCTTGGGAGCCCTGCCCGATATGCGTGGACGATTTCTTGATTGAACACCTAGTGTGGAAATGCAGAGGGATTGCACAGGAGAGGGAGTGGCTGTTGGGGGATCTTGGTGCTGAGAGTGTGGGGGATTGGGTGTGGCTGGCAAGGTTCCGGGGTTCTCGGTTGAGGAGGTTTATTCGCCATGCCAAAGGTCGAGTTGAGTCTGCTCAGGTCAGTTCAAGGGGGTGAGTGAAAGGACACGGGAAAGGCACCCCTCAGAATTTTCTGGGAGGGGGGTCGCTTGGATTCCATTGACTGAGGTTGACTTGGGCATTATCTATCTTGCAAGGAGACCGTACTTCGTGAGTTTGTGGGGGTGGGGCCCCCGTTGAGACATGTGCAGCCCTGGTTGTGGCCATCTTACATTCTTGCGGCTGTCCTAAACATGGTCGGGCATACCAGGGCGGTGACATGCACCTTGTTGTCGTTTCACAAAATGTAGGAAATCTTCTTCTTCTTGTTTTTCTTCTTCATGCACTGCCTCACTGGGCTTTCCCACAGGTCCCCCTGTTTCAAGATCTTGGCGATTGTGGCGATCGCGTTTTGGACAATACGCAAAAGCAGACTCATGCCATACATCGTCTTCCATGTGCAAGGATTGAGTCCGCCACTCTTTAGTTGAATACAAGGAATGAGTTGCGGAAGGAGGAGTTGGAAGGAGTTGCGTTGCCCCCCTATTGTCAAGACTGCCTCAATAAGGAAAAAATGTGTCAATGTCCAAATTGGATGCTTCCTCCTGAGCCAGAATAAAGCCAATACTGCTTGTCTTGGGATAAAAAATTTGATGCAGTTGTCCTCTGTTGTGAAGCAAAGAGCACGCACAGATACTGGCTCTTGATCCACAATGAGTAACTTCTTAGAAATCACCTATCAACTCAAATTGAGTAGCAAACATCCCATCAAGAATGGCTGATTGGAAACGCAGAAACTTGCTGGACTATGAGATCAGCATGTTCTTATAGGCTTTGTGTGCTGAGCACAACCTTCAGCAACATAGAAGCAATGAAAGGCGACAGCAGATGTGCTGGCGTACCGTAATCGGCCACTGTGACTGGTGAACTGTCATCCTTGTCTTCCCATTCAGAAAGCCTCAATTCTTGCTGCACGACCTTCCAACATGAGCACCGCCAAATTTAGGAACAGAATAACATATAGATAAAATGTTAGCGATAAAACGAACAATGAATAGGTAAAGTGTTAATGACAAATAGGCACATGATTGCTTCAGTATCAGTGTTGTCAAAACACTCAAGCATCCATCGATTCCTTCACCCAAACTACTGGGTCCAGTCTGTACTATGTCTGGAAAATCAAATTCAAGAGGCAGAAACCTGCCGCAGCCAAGGTTCCCTGCGGAATGTGGATGGGAGGGCCAAACTCTTGTCAATTGTTCACTTGGCCAACCTTTGGCAAAGGTTCAAAAACAACGTGAAGCCTGATGATTCCCAACAGCTACCCCATCTCCACACCCAACAAATGGTGTTGTGTGGTTGGTTTTCAGTTCAATAATATTTGGGCCAGTCGATGAACACAGATCGGTGCAACCCTCGGACCACAATTCTGAAACGTGGTTGGGACGAAGAAGCACTACGAATCCAGAAAGGAGGGAAATCCACGTACCCACGTTTCTGTGCCGATCACTCGTGCCAATCATCTTCTTTGGGTTTCGGAGAACACCACACTGTCATTTTCCCACAACCGCTCCCACAAGCGCCATCAGCACCCACAGGGGCAGCCCCTTCGTCTCTCACATGCGACGATCAGGGTCACGCGGCGCACACGATTCAGTGCCAGAAATTTCTGTTTCCCTTTTTCAACGGCAGCAGTTGATTGACTAGAAACCTTGGCGATTCGCCAACCACAAGATCGACGGCCCCCAACCGAGTATTCACCTGGCACAGCCGGGCAGCCAGCCTCACCGCCTGGCAGGCCACCCGCAGCTCCTTTTCCTCCTGCGCCGATGGCGTCGACTCCAATGCCGGCGCCCCTCCAGCGGCTGCCAGGCGCGATCCCGTGCCAGGGCATCGGCGCCAGGGGCATGCAGCGGGACCCGCGGCCGGCGGGCCGGAGCCACGCAGAAGGGACGGCCCCACGGAGCTGAAACACGGCCGGGCCATCCCTCCGTGAGTGTCCCAGTTCGGAGAACTTCGGAGATGGACCAATCCGAATAGCATTTCGATAATGCATAAATTCGAGTCCACATTATCATAATTCAGACTCTCAACCCTTTGCGGAACCATTTTTACGTTGATGTCTTCACGCGCAAAAACGCGTAAACAGAGAAATGGCCATTTTCACAGTCGTATTTACGCGCTTTTGCGGCTCGTCGACAGGCCCAGCTTACTTGGATGAAGTCCCAAACAATGATTAATCCTCCCAACGCAGAGTCCGCCTCGCCTTTGGGAAGGGCAACAACGTCGTCGAGCAAAACGCCGTTTTCTGCCACTCCCCGACTTCCTGAGTTTGTATCTACGTCTTTCATGTAAACAGGGCCCATTTTTATGCATTTTTATGCCTATTTCATGCACAAAAAGTAAAACTGTATTTACGCGTGACTACGCGTAAAAGCGCAAGTATTTACGCCGCAAATAACAAGCCTGACTTTTCCGTACATTGTGCAGACACGTCGTGCAATGGGACCTCGAATCAACGCATTAAACACTCATACGCACACAACATATAGAGATATATGATCTACCTGCAACGTCAGTTGGCGGTCAAATAGTTGAGAACTAGACATGAACTTTGCATGAGCTGCTTATGGCGACAATCAGGTGGCACCGTGCAACACGATTCAGTGCCAGAAACTTTTAGTTCTGGTCTTCAGTGGAAGCAATTGAATTGGAAAAGCAATTTACAAACATGTTTGAACACGAACGCCAAATTTATTGGTTTGCATCTTGTGGCAAAAGGCTTGCAACATTCATGTTGAGCCATAAATGCAAGGACGCTGTCACAATTGTACCGAAAATGTGGCTATCTATTGGGGAAAATTCTGGTAACTGACAGATGCAGCATTTTGCGACTTCCCTTAGCCTCTTTCTGTGGTGGCACTGCGCATACACTAGATGCTCTTGTGGGCCATTCCTATCTCTGGTTTTCACCAGGAAAATAGGGCCAAATAACGCGTGTTCGAGCGTGTACAAAGTTTACGGTTTTGTGTTATTATCGTGTTTTTGGAGTGCAGAACACTGATGAAATGCGTATATGTGTATGTGTGTTCATAGAACGTGTTATTTGGTCCTTTTTGGCTAGTGTTAAGAGCTCTCCCGCAGAGGGGGGTCGCCTCAGGGGACGAATCTTTCCTTTCCTCGTTGGTTTTCGCAATGCCTCCACAAAATCTAAGTTTTGGTTTGGCGTCCACAATGGGGCTACCCCGACAATGGCCTGGGGCGGTGGAACCGCAGCCGATGCCCATGTGATCGGGAGCAACTTTCTCGACCACGGTGTAGATAGCGCTCCCATGCGATTTGATTGGTGGCCCTTCAGCCTTTCAAGGCCCCCTCCTTTTGCTTCTGTAGAACACAATGAATTCATGTCATAATCAAATTACTAAGGCGGCGGTATGTGCCCACGGCGCAGGACGGGGTTCTGTGATGTCTGTAAGAAATGGCGGTGTCTGAATTCTAGAGTAGACCAACCCTGCTTGGGTGGCTTCAAGCAGCCCAGAAACCCTCGTGTGTTGGTAAGCTTTAAATGCTCATTCGCACCAGCTCATTCGTGCACATTCTTGCCGAATTGCTGAAAATCACGATTTCACGATTGCGCGAGGATCCTTATAGGTCGAATGCGTTTGAAAATGGACCAAATGCTGTAATAGGATTGGTTGATTTCTTGATAATCACGAAAACACGCAAAATATATGTACTCTGTCCCGCGACGCGCGTCAGCTACTCAAAATTGTTATATGAACATATGATCATGTAGATGAAGGCAAATATTGAAAGAAAAACATCTGATTTGGAAGACCAGGTGCCGAGACCCTAAACAGCTCGAAAATGAAGCAAAATTCTCTCCGTCGCTCCTTTTGACGAATGTGAGACTGACCGAGGAGACGTGATTTTCTTCAGTTTAGCTGAAGTAACCTATGAGCATGAGTGCACCGACCTTCCAATGATGTGGCGTTGCGAGCTCTTGAAGCGCAGCCTTGGCAAGCTGGCTGGAAAAGGCAGCCCTCGCCATGGCTTTTAGTTTTGTTCAGAAAATTCGCAAAGTTTAGGGTGTCTAAGTTGTTTAGGGTCCAGGCCCATAGGGCATCAGGTATAAGGTGCCCTTCATGTCCTTCGGATCCGGAAATGACAGGCATCAGGCAGTCCTCCAGTTCCCATCGAGGCGTCCCCAATCCACAGTGTGCTGCTGCTGGTGGTGTGGCCAGCAGGGGAATGGGATATTGTGTGTCGCTGCATGTCGTGACCCGTGGTTGAGGCGATGCTGGCGGGAGACTGATGGTCGACGTCGGGCTGGTGCGACGAGCGACACTCGAGGCCATGTCCAGCAGCCAGGGGCTACGGGAGCTGGGCATTACAACATCGTGCTCATTGATTATCACGTGGCGCTCTTGGACTGCAGGCGGGCCTGGCAGGTGCACAACTGCCGAATTGATGAGCGTTGTGGTTGAGAGGCAACAGACCAGCATCTGATGCTGTCAGGGGCGGGGTCCTGTGCTGTGGATCTGGTGAAGGTGTTCGAAATCGGGAACCTACTGGCTTGGGTCAATGTCCGCATCCGCTTACCCAACGTCTGGCAGCCCAATTGGCATTGCAAGGCGGCACCAGTTCCTCCACACCCCGTACCATAAGGTTCCAAGTCTTAAAATATAACGTACAAATGCCCGCCAAAAACCATCGTGTTCGTCTCGCACCAACGGGCCACTGGCCCAGATGCCCCACCTCAGCTTAGCGCCTGAGCCACCATAAACACTGCTGCTGCCAGCGCTGCACGCAAATGCAACGTGGCAGGCACGCCTGACAGCCCCAACCTCCTTTCCCAGCACCTCACAACATTCCCTTATTGACCCCAACGCCCCTAAGCAGGACTTCCCATGGCCCACAGCTGCACATTTCACTGCCGAGTCACCTGTGGCTGTGCAGTCTGATACTCAAGCACTGCCGCCGCCACAATGGGAAGCATCCATCCCAAACCACAACCCAGCGGCGTCCCCACTTTCACATCTTCAACCAGCATGTCTTGGAGCAGACCACCCCTTCCAAAGCCGGCAGGCATTCCTTATTGCCTCCCACAAGGAGCCACACATCCAAAACCACTGAATCGCCTCAGACAAGGCCGTCAAGCTCGTAACGAAGGCGTTCATGCCACGCAATGGCCGCTGGCAACGCGCACACCTTGGCATCGACGCCACATAGGGCAGCGCTGTCGCTTCAGGCATCAGCTGTCAGTCTTCTCTCCCTCCGCAAAGAGCGCCAGCCAGTCTCATACAGCAAGACCTTATTCGATCCCACACAAAACATGCCCGCAGGCCCCCCACACACACATACGTGCACGCAGCCCTATATCTGGCGGGCAACTCGAACATCGTTTCCTGCCAAGCGCGCTTCATCCAGAAAGAATTCCCCCTTCAAAATCACCCCACCGAATTGCAGCCCATGGTGACCGGAAGGTCTAAAGACGTGCCTATGAGCAAAGCCCCACGTACCTACAATTCAACTCCAGCGACCTTGCCGGTTGCCCAGAACATGCTACCAACGTTTTGACAATCCATCATCAATCGACAATGGATGCAGACTATTCCTCCACTGTACATCAGCACAAGTTGTGCATACACTTGTTGCGGTTGAGCCCATGCTATTGCCTCATCCACAAACTTGGCAGAACCGGGCTCGCTGTGGAGTCGATGGCTTGATTATCCTCACAGATCCTGATTTATCCTAGCTTCATGAGCCTACCTGGGGTGCCCATCATCCAAGAACGAAACGACTCACCACAGCCAATGGGAGTCGACACAGAAACTGCACAACAGCAACAATATTCACAACCGAATGTCGGCATTGCAGCGTCGCAATGCGCCCCGCCGTCCCACTCCCTGCCTGCCCAATTGAGCTGTCTTGCGGTGCTCCAGTTCCCTCACCGGTCATGGCAGCATGCGCCGCACCTTGGCCCTCCCCCCAACTTCCACATTTGAGTATTGTGAATCCAACAATCAAGAGATTGAACAGCAGCCGGTCTTCTGCTGAGATATTTGCTGTGCTGCAAGCTGGGACCTGAGACTGTGGATCTGCCCTTCCAGTTCCTGTACGAGCAATGGGAAAGGTGACTGACTGAAGTAAATTATATAAATAAATAGATAATTATATAAATAAACTGACAAAATCCAACAGAAAAGCATACAAGCAAATGCGGAAGCAAACAATGAGAACGGTGCTGTTAAGCAAATCAATCGCATGCTCTTGTGGACATTCACACAGCAGCGATTGACAATAGCTCAATCACAAAGCAGCAAAATCAGCAGCAATAGTCAGGCATTGATCACCAGAGATATGTTGTCCCTTCGAAGGGAGGGATCTGGGTGGCTGAGCAAGTGGGTAGGACATCAAAAACTCTGCATTGCGCTGATTTAGTGCTGAATTCTGCCATCCACAAAGCCCATATTCTGGGCATTCTGCACCCAGACTTGAGAGCTCAACATCGCCCTGTTGGCGCAAGGGTTGCGCTTTGTCACTTATGAACCAGTGCTGTGAGTGGCACCACACACCTGCACCCTTCCCGTAAGCCTGTGGTTGGCTGTCCTGCTGTCAGCATAGCCCTCCAGGGCTGCCACTCCACCTGGGACAAGGTCTACAAGCGCCTCGAGCTGCACAAGAAAGGAAAGCGGCTCAGACCTTAAATAACCATGCAATCCAGCACATTGCAGCGCAATGACCAATTACCTCCTTCATATCCTCCACTGCCTTTTTGACCTTGCTATTTGGAGACAGGAGTGCAGCATTCTGTCAGCATGCTGGCGCTGAACAAGCAAACAACAACTAGCATCGCAGTGCATGAGCAACCCCAGAGGCCACTTTTTCTGTTGATTCTCACAAGAGTGGGTGTCGTTTCTGCTACCCACATGCACCCATCATCTTTCCAAAAAGAAAATTGATATATCCCACTCGTTAACACCCAATGCCCCCTTTCAAGCCAGTTTGAAATTGGGTTCAGCACACATTCGTGAGCCTCGGAGCTGTTGCAAAATATACAAACAGGGCTTATGCAGGGGCTAGTACAGGAGCCATTCTGTTCAAAGAACATACACACATGCACACATATTTACAGTCAATGTGATTATGCGCACCAAAGGTACTACTTGCACCAACAGCTGCAGCATAGGAGCTGATTCTTACAAGATACACAACCAATAACACAACACGCTTTCAGACAATGATATTGGATTCACTGTGATATGTACATCTTTATCCATTGCTGCATACAGGGATGCATGCTGCAGCTGAAGGACTATCAGAGGTATTGCCACAGCACAGTGAATAGCGAACATGTGCAATCAAGCACACAGCAATGACAAGGCAATTCCCTTCCAGCAAAAAACAAATGATACTACAGTGACAATAAAGTAACGCAGCTTCCCCCACCTTGCCCAAGTCAGAAACTCAAGGTCAGGAGCCTTGGCAAGTTCTATGAGCTCCAAAGCCATTGAATCCTTCACAACAGGGCATTGATTTGCCAAACTTCGACAGACCGGGTTTGATGAAGTGGCTATCTTTCCCGCTCTATACCTTTTGCTCCAAAGCACGCATTTTGTTCTTGTGCTCCTCTTGCACCTCACACAGCTGGCGACGGTGGTTCTCCTCCTCAAGGGCCATTCGCCTGTACATTCATGAAGACACTCATGTGCCCAACAGCGCTATGTCCGACTTCACATAACATGGGCTAAACGAGAATAGTTTAAATCGCCACTTAAGCAGATGGCCCAGCAAGCATATGCTGCATGAAGTTTTGCAAATACTGCTCGACACGTCCCCTCATTCACAAAGCTAATATTGTGCCACAATCTGTATTCTCTTTTCTGCCAGTCTCACTTCCAGTCCCTTTACGTACATGCAACATCAATAAGGATGATGTCCAGTGCACCTGGCCCATATTGCTTCTTGCCTTTCCGGAATGATGCCAGTTCTGCAACCCCGAACATGCGTCTATCCTTGCAGCAACAAGGAGCTCAAACGCATGATCTGTGTTTACTTCTCCATCCAGCTGAACAGCAGCAAGCTGCAGTCACTGAGAACCCCACCTCAGATCAAGGATCTTTGACTCTCGTTCGGACAGCTCCCTCTCCTGCTCCGTCTTCCGGTTCAGCTGCGTCTCCATGTGCTCATTGTACAGTTTCTCCACACGGTCTGCACGCTTTGAAGTCCACTCAACCTGAGTCTGCACAAAAAAGCCACAGGGTCATCAGCAGCAGCTCCATTGTTTCCTGTTCAGAGTCGATCAGAGCCTCTTCTCGAGCCCAGGGGGTTCATGTACAGACAGAGAGCATACACAGCGAACTCATGAAGTACACACGATAAGCAAACAATGAGATCAGACATGCCTAGCTTCATAATCAAGGCATTCCTCTATTACAAAGCATACATTGGCGGCTACAAACTCACTTTTGCAATTGCATATCCCTTCGATTGTGGGTGAGTGACTAGTTGAAACCATGCCTTTCAACACAATTCTGGCCACTACTGAGAAACAGGGCATCAGGCAATGTGGCTGGTTTTCCTTCCATCTGCGTTGCTGCAGATAAAGGATCTAGCTCAACTAAAACTGTAAGGCCTGCCTGGGCAAACTAAAGGGTGCAAAGAGCATATCAGTGCCTCCAATGTGCGCAAAAAAACAACCTGTGAGGTACCAAGAAATGAAATCAATGCCGATTTCAGTGACCCAGGGTTTGTCTAGTTTGAACTGTATCTTCTCAGATACATAAGACTAGCTCCATCTTATCTCTTCAACAAAGTTGTCTGTGTCATTTTGATGTCTTTCAGCAGCCCGACGGAGCAGTTAGCCCGGACATTTGCCAATTGTTGCATTTGTCAATCTGAGACAATCAATCGCTCCAAATATGTTGCGTGGTGCAAGGCAATCTTCACAAACCACAGACAGGTATCGCTCTCGTGGACATTACCAGTGCACGAATCAGCACTTGGTAGTACTTTGTTGCACCCACTCTGCTCCAAAGAGAGGCATGTGTGTTTGGCCCAAACCCCCACCCCCACAGAAGGTGTTGCTCCGGGCTCACCTGCAAATTTTCCAGCTGCTGAGAGAGCTCGGTGACCTGGCCCATCACCATCCCAGCAGCGTCTTTGTCCTTGTTGGCAGTTGCGTCCATCGCTGTGGACTCGATCCTGCCCACCCGTGACCGTAACTGTGTTTTTGCAGGCACAGTAATCCTTTGTGTCAACACAAGCTGCTGCAAGTATTCACAAGAGACAACAATTTGCTGCATCGTCCTGTTTTCCATATTTCCTTTCAACACCACACCAACATTTGACATGTCCCATTATGCTGAACACATGCATATCAGTCAACAACAAAGCACACCAACAAACAAAGTTCCATGTGGTTTGGGCAGTGATGGTGCACTTAAAACACAGTGGAGCACCATATCTCCAGGAGTACTGTTAGGCTAAAGAGTGATGGTTCAATCTTTCTTTCACCACCACTTCTCGAACACTAGACTTAGCACTGCTGTGTTTGAGCCACCCTACACTGGCGATCTGCTTCTGTAGTTCTGCATTTTCCTCCAGGGAGCTCTCCATCTGCTGTGTCACGCGAGCGAGCTTCTCAGCCTGCGCAGGTCACACCCAGCAAACAATCAAGCGTCCACTCTACAAAAGGCTGTGATAGAAATCAGACATTTGTGAAAGCATAACAAAAGCACAACACATCATCCAGTTGCAATGCTCTGCATCTCGTTGTGTTAGGTGCAATGCCAACATATCGGCAGCGTTAGCAAATGTGAAAATATTGGATATGGAGAAGGCAGGTATAGGCCTGGACGCTATAAAGTGCAACAACTTTACAGGTGAGTAACAGCCCATTCAGGGACATTCATGTGGAGAGCTGAATAGTCAAGGTGTTAAAACACCCAGCAGAAATAGTCCAATGTGACAATAACACACCATTAGCTATGCACCAGGTATACAATAATGAGCACCACG